CACGGTAATGTCAATTTTATGGCATGATTTGTTAGGTGCTTCCTATACAATTCGGTCAAGGGCTGACCGACATCACGACTTAATTGAGGGTACCCCTCAATGGGGGGGAGAATGTTCGTACCCAAAGGTACTCAACATGACCACACCCAACAAATCAAGCAGTAGCCAAGTTGGGAACAGTACCAGGCGCTCAGTAGCACCCACTGCATATGAGAATGGGTGATCAGCATATTATATGTCTCACTAACTCACCGTCTCACCGACTCAACGGCACACTGACCGGCCAATGCAGTCAGCACATTTTGCAGTGTCTGCCGAGCCAACTACACAAACTGCTACCATAATCAAAACTCCCTGACCTACCTACCTACTTTAAAATATATCGCACTTCACTAATCATTACACTAAACTTTCGTCTTCCAAGTAGTATATAAACATGTACCAAATGAAGAATAAATCAGTTATCAACGCATCTCATAACTCCGCGGTTCTACTTCCTACCTCTGGGAATAGGGCTCGTAATACACTATCTCCACTAGCAGCTAACCTACGTTAGCTCAACCTCAGCGCAGTTCAGCATCGCCTGTGGTCCTACGAAGGCAGTCCGATAAGTACTTAGCCTCACCTCCCGATGGCGTCACTATCGCAAGAGAAATTTACTATCGTGTAGTACATTCTCGTAGACGGATTCTGTCGAAATTTCAGCCGAATCGGACTCGTAGTTTGGTTTTGACTGCGTGTGTAATCGGACGTATTCGCGGATTTTAGAAAAATGGAGAAAGAGCAATATCGGTCTGTGATTCGATTTTTGTTTTTGGAAGGGAAATCGCGCAGCGAAATCAAGGAGTGCTTGAATGCTGTGTACGGTGACTCTTCTCCTTCGATGGCTACCGTCAAAAATTGGTTTAACGAGTTTCAACGTGGTCGCACGTCGGTTTTTGATGAGCCGCGCCCAGGTGCCACGAAAACGACGACCACGAAGGATAACGTGACAAAAATCCACGATCTCGTATTGGCAGACCGCCGATTAAAGATACGTGAGATAGCTGAGACAGTAGGCATGTCAAAAGACTGCGTGGGTCATATCCTTCATTAAATTTTGGGCATGAGAAAGACGTCGGCGCGATGGGTGCCGCGTGAGACCACTTCTGAGCAGTGTTTGACGCTGTTGCGCAATCCAAAGGAGTTTGAAGTATTTTCTCGTGTAATTACCGGTGAACGTCTTGAACTAGGACCTAATAAACCTTTGGCACAAGGCACTAGGCTTGGTTATGTAATCACAGGTTATCTCAATAAAGAAACCTCATTTGATAAATCAAATCAAAATCAATCATGAAATCAACCATATTTTGGTAGAAGGCAGAGGTGATTTTGCAGGACCGAACGCTGCTTATGAGCCAACAAAAGATAAAAATCCAATGAATAAAGAACAGACTTCTAATCAATTTAAAACCTACAAGAAGGCTGACTTTGGTTCAACATTTCTAAACTTAACCAAGGAATATCTTAGTTTTGTTGCAGAATGTCCACATACCATAGACGTGCCAAATGATCAAGTTCTACGAGGGCACAATTTCAGTCCCCACGGTAATGTCAATTTTATCGCATGATTTGTTAGGTGCTTCCTATACAATTCGGTCAAGGGCTGACCGACATCACGACTTAATTGAGGGTACCCCTCAATGGGGGGAGAATGTTCGTACCCAAAGGTACTCAACATGACCACACCCAACAAACCAAGCAGTAGCCAAGTTAGGAACAGTACCAGGCGGTCAGTAGCACCCACTGCATATGAGAATGGCTGATCAGCATATTATATGTCTCACTAACTCACCGTCTCACCGACTCAACGGCACACTGACCGGCCAATGCAGTCAGCACATTTTTCAGTGTCTGCCGAGCCAACTACACAAACTGCTACCATAATCAAAACTCCCTGACCTACCTACCTACTTTAAAATATAGCGCACTTCACTAATCATTACACTAAACTTCCGTGTTCCAAGTAGTATATAAACATGTACCAAATGAAGAATAAATCAGTTATCAACGCATCTCATAACTTCGCGGTTCTACTTCCTACCTCTGGGAATAGGGCTCGTAATACACTATCTCCACTAGCAGCTAACCTACGTTAGCTCAACCTCAGCGCAGTTCAGCATCGCCTGTGGTCCGGCATCGCAGTAACTATCGTTACCATTGCCGCGACGCGATCGTCCTGCCAGCAAAGCGTCCCCGTGCCAGCGACAAGTGCTCATTACCCCCTTGTCCCGCGGTGTGACCCGGAAGTGTCTACTTCGGTTCGGCACAAACACCATCTATACGATTACCTTCTACACTGGCCTTACTACACTATGACTCTTGCGACAAGAAGATGGTTCTAGTCATAGGCATTATCCCACGGTAACTCCGCAACAGAAAACGTTCGTTGACCTTTTTTACGTTGGAAAGTCATATAACAATAGGAGAGAGTGGGGTGAGGATAGTAAGAAAAGATTGGTTGGACATAGCACCTATAAATAAAAAGTTATCACCATGAAAGTTGTATCATTGGAAAGCCAGTTCTGTTGGGTAAAACATTTTTCTACACCACTTTGAAATCAATTGAAAAGTCTTCGAGAAACCTTGCAAAATATCAAAATACTTTTTAAACTACGAAGGCAGTCCGATAAGTACTTAGCCTCACCTCCCGATGGCGTCATTATCGCAAGAGAAATTTACTATCGTGTAGTACATTCTCGTAGACGGATTCTGTCGAAATTTCAGCCGAATCGGACTCGTAGTTTGGTTTTGACTGCGTGTGTAATCGGACGTGTTCGCGGATTTTAGAAAAATGGAGAAAGAGCAATATCGGTCTGTGATTCGATTCTTGTTTTTGGAAGGGAAATCGCGCAGCGAAATCAAGGAGTGCTTGAATGCTGTGTACGGTGACTCTTCTCCTTCGATGGCTACCGTCAAAAACGAGTTTCAACGTGGTCGCACGTCGGTTTTTGATGAGCCGCGCCCAGGTGCCACGAAAACGACCACGGTGCCACGATCTCGTATTGGCAGACCGCCGGTTAAAGATACGTGAGATAGCTGAGACAGTAGGCATGTCAAAAGACCGCGTGGGTCATATCCTTCATTAAATTTTGGGCATGAGAAAGATGTCGGCGCGATGGGTGCCGCTTTTGCTCACTCCGGACAACAAACGCAACCGTGAGACCACTTTTGAGCAGTGTTTGACGCTGTTGCGCAATCCGAAGGAGTTTTTGCGTCGTTTCGTGACCGTCGACGAAACATGGATCAACTGGTACACACCAGAGACCAAGGAACAGTCGAAACAGTGGACTTCACCCGGCGAACCTGCTCCGAAGAAGGCGAAGACTGTCCCATCGGCCGGAAAGGTGATGGCCACCGTTTTTTGGGATTCACAAGGTGTGATCTACATCGACTACCTGGAGAAGGGCAAAACGGTCACAGGGCTGTACTATTTGGAATTATTGGGCCGATTCGCCGCCGAATTGCAGAAAATACGGCCCCATTTGGCGAAGAAAAAAGTGCTCTTCCATCATGACAACGCACCGGCTCACACTTCCGCCCTCGCCAAGGTCAAATTGGTCACTCGCTGGACAGAAGTTTGCGTCGAACGTCGTCGCCGCCACAGAGGCTTATTTTGCAGACCTCGAGAAAATGTATTTTTCAGGCGAGTTAAAGGAGTTGGAGCAAATGTATTGAGAAAAAAGGAGACTATGTTGAGAAAAAAATCGCCACTTTTCCAAAATTTTCGTTTTTATTTTGGAGGCTAAGTACTTATCGGACCACCCTCGTATACTGGCCCCCTTGTAAATTGTATATGGGTAAAAACATATATAGTGACATATCCATAGTACCACATACTCCTATGTACATGTCCACACACCCACACATACATGCACACATTATGCAGTCACCCTCAAGACACCCTTTAAGAAATAAGAATCCAAATTTAATTGACAACAAGCTAATGGAAAATTACCGAGCTAAAGGCAAGCCAGAGGAAATTTCCATGAAACAAAAAACCAAACTTTATAGACTAAACAATTAGAACGAGCCGCTGTTCAGACTATCGGCACGTTCCCACGAATCAGGATACTCAGATTTCGGGACCCAAGTCTAGAGTCCAAAGTCTAAATTTAAAGAATCACTCAATTGCAATAAGTCCCACTCACAGAAAGCTCTAAAGCTTAAAACCGAGGTATGATCGTAAGTGAAGTAGGAGTTAGAGAATGAGTTCAGTTTGAGACTTATCAACAGTAGGTCGGTGTTCTTCCAAAATATTGTAACCAGTGTAAAAGTAAAATTAAATAAAGATTTTTTTTAATACACTTATGGTGCAGATCTTTAATTATATATATTTTTTTAATTGGATTTTGAATTTTTTGGATACCATATTTTTCTTGTTAAAGGGAATACATTTTTTGTATTATTTTTTATTAAACCTTTCTTTATAATATAAAATTGCGGATATAGATTTTTTACTGTGGTGGACTCCATTTATGTAAATTAAATTTTGTTCGTTATTGATCTACAGCATATCATTATTCCATGATAATGCGGCAACCACAACTAGCACCACCATTGGCATTATTACAGGCACCTGAAAGCTATATATTTACTTCAACAAAACCCGCATTATCAAATATTAACTTCAACTATCCTTGCCCTAGAGGAAGTGTTTTGAGTTGTTGCAAAAACAGGTACGCGCTTGGCACAAAATTTCGGTTTTTAAAAAAGAAATACATTTAAAAATCTCACGAGCGACCAATGTCCAATAAAAGGACTCGAACAGAGTAAAAATATTTTATCAACCTGTTACTTTAAAATTAAAAATTGATCAATTTTACAGTGGTGGATTTTAATAAGGTTTTAATATAATGAGATGGTCTTATCTGCTAGGGTATTTCAGCTTCGGCCTGCCGATCTAGCGCCCTTCCTGATTTTACGTAAAGTAAAATGTTCAAATCATTTTTCTTATTTAGCTCGGCATACAAAGGAAGATTAATCAAATAATTGACGTGGTAAATACTGCACATGATACTGGAACCACTTGGCTAGAAGGACTTCTTATGAGTGTAAGTGAAAATTATTTTTCTAATAATTTTATATTAATGTTATAAATTTGTTTTGTAGATTTTCAAACCAAGAGATAATATGTTAAAGTCTGATGGATGCGTACAAGAACCTATAAAAAAAAATACGGAGCCCCCACTGGATATTGTGATAGCTTGTCAACAATTAGCTGACGGATTAGTTGACAGACTAATTGAACTAGAAGACACAGATAATGCTCGAATGTTGGGTTGTATTACTACACTTCATTTGCTAGCTAAAGTGCGGCCTCAACTGCTGGTTAGGCATGCCATGACAATAGAGCCATATCTCAATATAAAATGTCATTCTGCCACAGCTGCGAAATTTATATGTGCTGTTGCGGATATTCTTGAAAAAGTGGTTCCGCTGGTTAACAATGCAAGTGAATCTTTTTTGGCAACATTGGAAGAGCATTTAATGTTATTGGTTGTTTCACGGAACCAAGCCGAAGTCACTAGTTGTGTTTCTTGCCTAGGAACACTTGTAAATAAGATCACACATAACTTCAAACTCATCCGCGACTGTTTTCAAAAGTAGGTATTGTTGTTTGTATATATACTTGTCGTGTTGATTTTTATATTTACAATTGGTCCCAAGAGTATATAATAACTTTTTTGCACTGCTGTAATTTTTCCCGAGTTCTTATGTACCGACTTTAGTCAACTACTACGTTTTTCTAGTAATAAAAAAGAGGTATGCATGAATGCATCCAAAACGGCAAACGATTCATTCACTCTGAAAATGAGTGCACGTTTTCCTGTAAAACTTTTAAAAAAAGTGAGTGAATATTGTTCTAATGCCAGTATTGACAGCTAGTGTAAGAAATGACGAGAGGGAAATGATTGCATTGATGCGAGGGAAATGCCTCTAATTTGGGTGTCAAGGCTGCTATGTGTAGCCGCAGTCTTGAAAATAGGTGATGGTCCGATCATAACAAATGACACACAGATCGAAAGGTATTGTTATTTTCTTAAGTTTTCTCTGCTAAGACCTTTATTTGGTCGATTTGTTCAGGATAAATTACGGTAAAAGTAGAAAACGTTAAATTTAGAAGTTTAAAGTTAATGAAACCGAAAAAGCAAAACTTATATTTTTTCCGAAATACGCGTCCAAAAAATGCTCCATTAAAGTTATTTTAAATTTGAATGAAGTTCATGACATTTTCAAATTAAGACCAAAGAAGAGTATGTGTGTAGGTTTGCCATATTTTTTATGTTACCGTCCTGGAGTTTAGAAAAATCCGTTAGTTTAGCGGGAAAAAAGCTGGAAATGGCTATAATGTAAAGGGTCACAGTTCCTAAAGATAAATTTAAAATCTGCCACTTTACTTCTTACTAAAATCCCAGCAAAATTGGGTAATAGTGCAAACTACACAATTTGGGAGCTCAGTAATAATTTTTGGCGTTATTTGGTCTGAGCCAGGAGATTTTTTCGGATCCAGATGATTTTTTATTGGCTCGCGTTGAAGCTGAGAGTAATTTGTTATAGGCGGTATTGTTATTGCATTCGTGGCAGTATTTGGCTGGAACACATTTTCAAGGTGTTCTGCAAATGTTCCGGCTCTGTCTTCATCACTGCGGACCCAGCCTACTGAGTTTCTAATAGGCGCCTTAGTTCCTGTCGGTGAGCATAGGGTTGGATGAGCTCTCCACAGTGAGTGCTTTTTGGAAGATGTTGATGTTGCTCTGTATAGCGCCGTTGGGTATTTGCTTTTTGTTTCTTTATCGCTTTGGTGAGTTTGCGGGAGGTGTCTTTTAACCTTTGTCGTGCAAATGGCGACCTATAACGAGACCTACGAAAGTGGTCCGAAAGGTACTTAGCCTCCAAAAGAAAAACAAACACTTGACCCACCGATGCTCAGACTTTTTTAACCCGTCTGAAAAATACGTTTTCTCGAGGTCTGCAAAATAGGCCTCTGTGGCGGCGACGACCTCCTCATTCGATGCAAATTTCTGTCCAGCGACTGACTTTTTCAAGTTTGGAAACAAAAAGAAGTCACACGGGGCCAAATCTGGAGAACATGGTGGATGGGGTAGTTCGTAGCCCAATTCGACCACTTCGAGGGCGGAAGTGTGAGCCGGTGCGTTGTCATGATGGAAGAGCACTTTTTTCTTCGCCAAATGGGGCCGTATTTTCTGCAATTCGGCGGCAAATCGGCCCAATAATTCGAAATAGTACAGCCCTGTGACCGTTTTGCCCTTCTTTAGGTAGCCGATGTAGATCACACCTTGTGAATCCCAAAAAACGGTGGCCATCACCTTTCCGGCCGATGGGACAGTCTTCGCCTTCTTCGGAGCAGGTTCGCCTGTGAAGTCCACTGTTTCGACCGTTCCTTGGTCTCTTGTGTGTACCAGTGGATCCATGTTTCGTCAACGGTCACGAAACGACGCAGAAACTCCTTCGGATTGCGCTTAAACAGCGTCAAACACTGCTCAGAAGTGGTCTCACGGTTGCGTTTGTTGTCCGGAGTGAGCAAACGCGGCAACCATCGCGCCGACCGCTTTCTCATGCCCAAAATTTCATGAAGGATATGACCCACGCGGTCTTTTGACATTCCTACTGTCTCAGCTATCTCACGTATCTTTAATCGGCGGTCTGCCAATACGAGATCGTGGATTTTTGTCACGTTATCCTCCGTGGTAGCCGTTTTTGGGGCACCGACGTGCGACCACGTTGAAACTCGTTAAACCAATTTTTGACGGTCGCCATCGAAGGAGAAAAGTCACCGTACACAGCATCCAAGCGCTCTTTGATTTCGCTGTGCGATTTCCCTTACAAAAAGAAGAATCGAATCACAGACCGATATTGCTCTTTCTCTATTTTTCTAAAATCCGCAGACACGTCCGACTCCACTTGCAGTCAAAACAAAACTACCAGTCCGATTCGGCTGAAATTTCGACAGTAGCCGTCTACGAGAATGTACTACACGATAGTAAATTTCTCTTGCGATAGTGACGCCGTCGGGCGGTGAGGCCAAGAACTTATCGGACTGCCCTCGTATGGCGACCATTGCCTAGGAACACTTGTAAATAAGATCACACATAACTTCAAACTCATCCGCGACTGTTTTCAAAAGTAGGTATTGTTGTTTGTATATATACTTGTCGTGTTGATTTTTTTATTTACAATTGGTCCCAAGAGTATATAATAACTTTTTTGCACTGCTGTAATTTTTCCCGAGTTCTTATGTACCGACTTTAGTCAACTACTACGTTTTTCTAGTAATAAAAAAGAGGTATGCATGAATGCATCCAAAACGGCAAACGATTCATTCACTCTGAAAATAAGTGCACGTTTTCCTGTAAAACTTTTAAAAAAAGTGAGTGAATATTGTTCTAATGCCAGTATTGACAGCTAGTGTAAGAAATGACGAGAGGGAAATGATTGCATTGATGCGAGGGAAATGCCTCTAATTTGGGTGTCAAGGCTGCTATGTGTAGCCGCAGTCTTGAAAATAGGTGATGGTCCGATCATAACAAATGACACACAGATCGAAAGGTATTGTTATTTTCTTAAGTTTTCTCTGCTAAGACCTTTATTTGGTCGATTTGTTCAGGATAAATTACGGTAAAAGTAGAAAACGTTAAATTTAGAAGTTTAAAGTTAATGAAACCGAAAAAGCAAAACTTATATTTTTTCCGAAATACGCGTCCAAAAAATGCTCCATTAAAAAGTTATTTTAAATTTGAATGAAGTTCATGACATTTTCAAATTAAGACCAAAGAAGAGTATGTGTGTAGGTTTGCCATATTTTTTATGTTACCGTCCTGGAGTTTAGAAAAATCCGTTAGTTTAGCGGGAAAAAAGCTGGAAATGGCTATAATGTAAAGGGTCACAGTTCCTAAAGATAAATTTAAAATCTGCCACTTTACTTCTTACTAAAATCCCAGCAAAATTGGGTAATAGTGCAAACTACGCAATTTGGGAGCTCAGTAATAATTTTTGGCGTTATTTGGTCTGAGCCAGGAGATTTTTTCGGATCCAGATGATTTTTTATTGGCTCGCGTTGAAGCTGAGAGTAATTTGTTATAGGCGGTATTGTTATTGCATTCGTGGCAGTATTTGGCTGGAACACATTTTCAAGGTGTTCTGCAAATGTTCCGGCTCTGTCTTCATCACTGCGGACCCAGCCTACTGAGTTTCTAATAGGCGCCTTAGTTCCTGTCGGTGAGCATAGGGTTGGATGAGCTCTCCACAGTGAGTGCTTTTTGGAAGATGTTGATGTTGCTCTGTATAGCGCCGTTGGGTATTTGCTTTTTGTTTCTTTATCGCTTTGGTGAGTTTGCGGGAGGTGTCTTTTAACCTTTGTCGTGCAAATGGCGACCTATAACGAGACCTACGAAAGTGGTCCGAAAGGTACTTAGCCTCCAAAAGAAAAACAAACACTTGACCCAGCGATGCTCAGACTTTTTTAACCCGTCTGAAAAATACGTTTTCTCGAGGTCTGCAAAATAGGCCTCTGTGGCGGCGACGACCTCCTAATTCGATGCAAATTTCTGTCCAGCGACTGACTTTTTCAAGTTTGGAAACAAAAAGAAGTCACACGGGGCCAAATCTGGAGAACATGGTGGATGGGGTAGTTCGTAGCCCAATTCGACCACTTCGAGGGCGGAAGTGTGAGCCGGTGCGTTGTCATGATGGAAGAGCACTTTTTTCTTCGCCAAATGGGGCCGTATTTTCTGCAATTCGGCGGCAAATCGGCCCAATAATTCGAAATAGTACAGCCCTGTGACCGTTTTGCCCTTCTTTAGGTAGTCGATGTAGATCACACCTTGTGAATCCCAAAAAACGGTGGCCATCACCTTTCCGGCCGATGGGACAGTCTTCGCCTTCTTCGGAGCAGGTTCGCCTGTGAAGTCCACTGTTTCGACCGTTCCTTGGTCTCTTGTGTGTACCAGTGGATCCATGTTTCGTCAACGGTCACGAAACGACGCAGAAACTCCTTCGGATTGCGCTTAAACAGCGTCAAACACTGCTCAGAAGTGGTCTCACGGTTGCGTTTGTTGTCCGGAGTGAGCAAACGCGGCAACCATCGCGCCGACCGCTTTCTCATGCCCAAAATTTCATGAAGGATATGACCCACGCGGTCTTTTGACATTCCTACTGTCTCAGCTATCTCACGTATCTTTAATCGGCGGTCTGCCAATACGAGATCGTGGATTTTTGTCACGTTATCCTCCGTGGTAGCCGTTTTTGGGGCACCGACGTGCGACCACGTTGAAACTCGTTAAACCAATTTTTGACGGTCGCCATCGAAGGAGAAAAGTCACCGTACACAGCATCCAAGCGCTCTTTGATTTCGCTGTGCGATTTCCCTTACAAAAAGAAGAATCGAATCACAGACCGATATTGCTCTTTCTCTATTTTTCTAAAATCCGCGGACACGTCCGACTCCACTTGCAGTCAAAACAAAACTACCAGTCCGATTCGGCTGAAATTTCGACAGTAGCCGTCTACGAGAATGTACTACACGATAGTAAATTTCTCTTGCGATAGTGACGCCGTCGGGCGGTGAGGCCAAGAACTTATCGGA